GATGAAGCGCACAGCCCATACCGCATGCCGAGCCTGGATGTGTTGCTGGAGGGGCAGCAGGCCAAAGCCTCCAGCCGACGGGTGGCCGGTCAAGAGATCCTTAGGCACCCCTGTCAAGCGGCGGCCGGGGTCTTCTGGGCCCTGCTGCCGGTCGACGAGGCGGGCCGTTAGGCGTTCTATTTCGTCCAGCGTACGGTTGGGGGGCGGCCCACCATGCTCCATGTGCCAGGTGACTGTCTGCATTCCGTACACCGATGCCGCTGTGGCTCGACCGAATGCTGATAGCGGGAAGCGGGAGAGCCGCTGCAGTCGCCGCTTGGCTTCCCCGAGTCTCTTCATCCAGTCGGGCTGTGGCGGGGATGGCTGGTTGTCAATCGGCAGGTTCAGGGCGGTGGCGGTGGTCACCACCTTGAGACCTCCTATTGACTCCTGCTGAGGGGCAGCTGATTGGGGCCCGGCCTGGGTTGCAGGTTGCGCCTGCTGTTGGTTTAATTGGCCAATCCACAGCAGCTCCACTTTGTCGAGATTTAGGCGTTGGCCAGACGCCCGGGCAAAGGTGTCCATGGCCTGGAGGAACGATGGTACTGAGTCTTCACCCTGCAGCGCCACTTCCGTGTCATCCGCATATTGACACGCGGTGACTGGTTGTGAGTCGGCTGGCTGTAATTTGATCCCCACGTCTTGGCTCCGGAGCCAGCATTGTAGGGCCTGAGCAACGAAGAGGTAGAGCAAGGGTGCGAGGGGGCACCCTTGCCGTACCCCTGCTTCCATGTTCACCAGCTTCGATTTGTAGCCATTCACCATCGCTCTGGCTCGCGTNTCGCTCAGCAGCAGCCGTACCCAGGCGCAGAGCTGTGGCCCTGCACCCATGGTCTCCATTGCTGCCAGGAGGAACCCACGATCCACCGTGTCATAGGCCTTGGCGAAGTCCAGGAATGCCAGGAGCCCCCGGCGGTTCTGCTTGCGAAGGAGGTGTGACAGGTGACGCAGGAATAGCACACTAGCTCCAATGAGGCGCCTAGGTAGGAAGGCTGATTGCTCGGGGGTTATGACTTGGCCAAGGGCAGGGCCTAGGCGGTTTGCCAGCACTTTGGTGAGCAGTCGGTAGTCCGAACAAAGCAGGGTGATAGGACGGTAGTTGCCAGGGAGTTTGGGGTCGCCTTTTTTGTAGATCACCGTCAGTACCCCCTCCAAGAAGCCCTTCGGCACCTGCCCCGTCAAGCCTATGGCGGTGAGCAGGCCAGCCATGGTGGTGCCAATGGCCGACCAGAATTTCCTGTAGATGTCGGCTGGGATGCCGTCCCACCCCGGGGCCTTGCCAGGCTGGCTTTTCTTAAGAGCCTTTCGTAACTCGGTGGCCGTGATGGTTCTGGATCCCAGCTGTTCATCTGCCACTGAGTTATGTATGTATGTATATATGTATGTATGTATGTATGTATGTATGTATGTATGTATGTATGTATGTATGTATGTATGTATGTATGTATGTATGTATGTATGTATGTATGTATGTATGTATGTATGTATGTATGTATGTATGTATGTATGTATGTATGTATGTATGTATGTATGTATGTATGCATTGTTCGTTCGCGTCCGGGGGGGCGGGGTGAAGGGGTGTAAGGGGATGCAGCCCCAAAATCAAAAGGCGTGTGTCGGGTGTGCGCAGGTGGGTTTTATTCCCCCGCGTGTTTTGGGGATTTTTGCACTTGCATGTTCCCCTCTGTTCCCGGGGGCCCCTAGTTTTAGTTAAGGAGTCAGTTACGGTGGTTGCATAGTGAGTTAATACAGGTGTAAATTAGTTGGGTTCGATAGGTACGTTACTTGAGGCCATGTACGGACCCGCAGGGCAGTCTCCCGCCTTTTTCCCCTCTTTCCACGACGTAGATGCCGTACAGCTGATAGCGTGGTTTCGGTTTTTCGAACTCATTTTAATCTCGTACCATTAATTAGCCGGTTCCTTGCTTACAACAACGAAGAAATGGGCGATTGGATCCGTCCTAACATCGCTTTTTTGTCCAAATACGCGACAAACAAAAGCAGCAACGACCCTTCCTTCTAAAACACACCCTTCCGTTAATTCTGTGAGATTACCTTTTGCGCAATGAATAACAATGAATTCCGTTCCGGAACCCTCCAGGGGCGGTCCCACGGAGACAGGCTGACGTCCTTTTGTTTTTGGCTGCATGGCATCGCCATGACGGACCCCGGACTGTCGATCAGTCCGCTGGCGCATCCAAGCGTTCTAGGGGTAAGCGCCAAATAACTCAGTTCAATATTTTTTAAAAATGTTAGTTTTTTATTTTTGCCGCGATGGCAGGGATGAGGGGGAGCTGGACACAGCTGTAGAAAACACAGTTCAGGAGAATAAATCAAACGGGAATATCCGTTTCTGCCACATCGCTCGTGCACCACCAAGAACTTATACGCGCCCGGCCCTTTGCTTGTTTTCGAGCCGACGGGCTTACCGTCCTTAAAATTAGTCCTCTCCACCCCTAATTCGATCAGACACCTGACCTCCTACACACGAAAACCAACCCTAAAACTCTAAACCTGTCGTATGTTTCGTATTTTCCGTACTTGCAGGGTCGTGTTATGGATTCCTTTGCTGCTAACGAGGCGTCCATGCGGGCCGTAATTGAAGGGAAGCAAATGGACACGTCCTTGTGGGTACGTTATCGGAATAGGGGGCTGTTTTAAGGAGTTAAAAAAGGTAAAAACCCAAATCAAGGCCCTCTTTCACCCTTTCGTTTTCCCCGCCCTAAAAACCCCCCACTGGCAGTTGGTACGTCGGACGTTGTAGACAGTTGCCCCCCCCTTGTTGAGTTTCCCCTCACCCCCACCAGCGAGCAATCGGACAATTCGCTTCCCTGTCCCCATGCATCCGTTTATCTTTGGTATCTGCTTTGGTATCGCCAGTGGTCGAAACTTACTCGACAATGAATTTCGCTTCGTCTTCCCCCCTCTTTCCCCCACCCCCAGCACACATACACAACCTCCTTTGGGAGGCAGATTGAGGCTTTGAGGGGGGCGTGGGGGGAATGGGAAACTAGGGTTATGAGCACGGTCGTGAAGGAGGGAGAGTAATTGATGGCTCGGCTTCAATCCCCGCAGCGCCGTACCCAGGCACACACCTCGCCCTGCCGTACAACCTCTCATGTGTACACCTGCCGTACACCCCGCAGGCCACCCTATACATGGCCGCTACCCACGTGGGCGACGGCCCGGGTTCCGCAAAGCGGGCGTGGGAGCTGGCGGAGCTGTACCCGCAGGCTCGACGGGCTGCCGTACAACAGCTTGAGCGTGCGGGTTTGTTGGGACGGGGCGGGGTGGATGTCCTTACGGCGCCGCATTCGCCGGGAGACAAGGTAGTCTGGGCTAAGGGGACTTGGATGATCAAGAAGGGTGATGTGGGCAAGGAGGTGAAGGGGAAGATGAAGGAAGGTGACGGAAGGTGAGGTAAAGGAAGGTGAAGCGGAGGAGGTGAAGGAAGGTGAGGCGAGGGTGGGCTGGAGGCAAAGAAGTCAAAGGAGGCGAGGGCGAGGGCGAGGGCGAGGGGGAAAAAAGGCGAACACAGCGATACAGGGATGTCGATAATTCCCGTTGGGGGGGGAGGAGGGGGAAGAGAGAGAAAGGGGGGTCGGTGCGGAGCAACTGGGGGTAACTGGCAGGGGGCCTAGTACAGCGTTGGGCTGTCAGAGGCAAACACCGTCCCCCGTCCCCCGTCCCCCCTTCCGGCCAAGTAGACAAAGCGGGGGTAGGGCCCCATGAGGCGTGTGGGTGTTTCGTTTTGTGCTGCATGCGTGCTGTGTGTGTATGTGTGTATATATGTGTGTATGTGTGTATGTATTGCTGTGTAATTCCTTGTCTGAGAAAGGCGGCCACTGAGTTTAGAGAGGAGTGGATCTGGATTTGGATCTGGATCTGAATCTGTGAAAGGTCATGCAGATGTCGCGTGGGTATTCGGTGACTTCTCGGGGTTTTTGTTTTGCTGGTTGGCCGGTCAGACACGCTTGCTGTACCCTTAGTTATACGCGAGAGTTAGCTGTATGTGACCGTTTGGTTGAGCCTTATATCATCGTTATATGTCATGAGAGATGTGTAGAGATAAGCGATGGAGAGATTGACACGAAATTCTCAATCTCTGTGTAAAGAGAGAGCAGGAGTTTGCTTATATTAGAAGAATTCCGTCGGCTGTGCGCAGTTGAGCTTCTCTGGGGCTATCGCGTCGCAGGCTTTTTCATTTGTGCTGTTGCTGCCAATTGCAATTCAAGATATTAACGAGCTATTACATATTTAAACATTTATTCATATATAGGTGCGCTAGCTGGTTTTATGGTGTTAGATACAATCGTTCTTGTAGTCGTTGTCCTCGTTGTTCTCCTGTGCTCGCTTTTTGGGCGAAGACCCTTCAGCCGCGAAGCGCCTTTCGGGGGCGTGAGGGTTCACTGCTGTCCGTCCGCCCAGCAGGATAGCACTCGCCTCAGCCCAGCGCTATGCATGTTTGGAAGTTGGAAGAGAGCTACGGAAGCCGTGTAACTAAGTAGCTCTGCTACGGTGTCCCTGCCTGCGTCTGCGTTAAAGCTGGAAAATTGCGGTGAAGAGGAGACGGATGCACGAGGCTCTACACCGATGCCGAATGCAGCTGTAACAGATATCTAAACAGGAGGCATGATGACAGTTTGCCAAAGGCGAAAGTCAGGCAACAACGGGACTTGCTCGATGCAAACAACTTCCGGTTCCAGAGAAGGCAAACATTGGAGGCCTCACCCGCATCTGGATCGCTTGGTCCTCGTACATCTACGAAAGGTTTGAAGACTTTGGTGGAGGAAAAGCAGACGGACAAGGAGGAAGCTCAGCCCTTTGGAGGCGACGTCGCATCTTCCGGATCTGGATGAAAACGCCAAGGGTTCCGATGGGTCAAGCGGGCTCACAAGCTCGACAGGGTTCCAGAATTCGTCAAGGTCTGGAACGAAACAGGGACGCTTGCCCTGCATATAGACAGCCGTTCACTGTCCCGGTCACACAGCTGTTTATCCCTACAAATGTCTCGCCCTCACTTCAGGGATTAAACACCTTTCTGGCAGTTGCGCTGGCTAAGCACCTTCTGGCAGTGGCATTTACTAAGCACCTCCGACAGTTCCAACTACCACATTTGAAGCATATTTCTCATAAGGAGGCAGTCTTCGCAAGGAGGGTACAAAAGGCGAAACTTTCCGGCTGTCAACGGAATAATAAGGAGAAGGGGAAGAATTTTCCGGCTGTCAACGGAATAATGGAGCTATGGCGAGGTCCCCGTGCACGTGAGAGTCATGGAACGGGGACCCCAAAACGAACGGCGCAAGGCCTCACACGGGGAACGTAAACCCTCCCCGTCAAAATCGCAACAATTTGCATTTTTGTTTGGTACTTTTTCAGCAGCTCCAAAACGTTCTGATGCTGTAAAAGCTGCAAGCTTATTAGGTGTAATGATAAACGACGGTTCAAAACGTACTCCCCGAACCGTTCCTTCTCTGTAATCCATACCCCGGTGCTGTCCTCCAGTATAAAGAAATGTTATTCAAGTATACTGGGCCGTAGTTGTGCTGTCATGTATAGCGGTATCAACAATTACTTGCCCGTAGCCCAGAAGCCATCGAAAACAAAACCTGCCCTTAAGAAGACAGAAATAGTAGCGAAGGCACAGAAAGAAACTGCGGAAAACGCCGCCACCAAAGAACATGTGCCCTTGCTCCACATGCAGCCTGATCAAGACGAAGATCCCTAGAAGAGTATTTCTATACTAATCGTATACATGATGATGTGAATGCCGTGGGTGAGGAGGATGCATCATCGGGTGAGGGTTCGGACATTGATAAGGATGATGGGCCTGACGGCCCGAACTCCCGCCAGCTAGTGACGGAGGTATAATTTAAGTTCATCCACCAAACCGTCGCATCATCGGGGCGCTAGGGTGCCTGACAGCTGCACGGGTGGGGTCTGGTGACACTCGGGCGCTGGAACCTGGGTTGGGCGATGTCGGAATCTGGACGCGCGCTTGGGGCCGTGGCCTTGTGAGGGTATTTGGGGGCTGTCCGAAAAAAGTCAGCCCGAACGCTTGACTTTGGGCCGGGGCGCTAGGGTGCCTGACAGCTGCACGGGTGGGGTCTGGTGACACTCGGGCGCTGGAACCTGGGTTGGGCGATGTCGGAATCTGGACGCGCGCTTGGGGCCGTGGCCTTGTGAGGGTATTTGGGGGCTGTCCGAAAAAAGTCAGCCCGAACGCTTGACTTTGGGCCGGGGCGCTAGGGTGCCTGACAGCTGCACGGGTGGGGTCTGGTGACACTCGGGCGCTGGAACCTGGGTTGGGCGATGTCGGAATCTGGACGCGCGCTTGGGGCCGTGGCCTTGTGAGGGTATTTGGGGGCTGTATGCAAAAAATCAGCCCGAACGGCTGCATTCCAGTTGCATTCATGATTGCCGTACTCAGCCTCAGGTGTGATCCCTGGCCAGGCCATGTGGTCAGTCAAGGTCATGCATTCCCCAACCATGCTGTTTGAAATGTTCACAGCTTCTTGTAAATAAACAGGCAACTCACCAGCGAGATGTACCTGTGGCATATCAACACTCATTTCATGCACACACACGCAGCAGGATCATCCAGTATGCACCCATTCAGTATCCCATCACTCTCCCCAAACAGGAAGTCCTAGATTAACCCTCAGTTCACTTGGTCTGATTCCTGTTAGACCCCCCACGCTGTCTCTGTAGCAAAGCCGCGAGCTTGGCGCCCCTTCCCAGGCGTTGGCTCTGGCCGCCCCTGTTCCCCCGCTGGCCACCCCCTGTTGCTTGCTCGGCCCCCTTGGTTGGCTGCTTGCCGCCCCTGGTGGGCTGCCGGCGTGTCGATCACTGATGTCCCAGACAACATTCGAGTCCTGAAGGCAGTCCACTGCGGTGGTTCGGATGCTGAACTGCTTCCGGCAGGTTCCGCATTAGTGAACGGGAACCTCCAATTCAATAGGCTGGTCCCACGTCACCACGGTGATCGGACAAGACAGTGGTTTGCCGGAGCTCTCAGCCCGGCACGTAGGGCAGGTACTGATGTCCGCTGAACGTGACCCCCGCCTGATGAAGCAGATTCTTACGTGATGTAACGGTTTTGTGGACGAACTAAAAGTATACCTCTGCCACTAGCTGGCGGGAGTTCGCGTCCTCACTGAGGATCATGGGCCTGGCAGGCCCATCATCCTCATCGGTGTCCGAACCCTCACCTGATGATGCATCCTCCTCACCCACGGCATTCACATCATCATGTATACGATTAGTATAGAAATACTCTTCTAAGGGACCTTCGTCTTGACCAGGCTGCATGTGGAGCAAGGGCACATGTTCATTGGTGGCGGCGTTTTCCGCAGTTTCTTTCTGTGCCTTCGCTACTATTTCTGGTCTTCATAAGGGCAAATTTTGTTTTCGATGGCTTCTGGGCTACGGGCAAGTAATTGTTGATACCGCTATACATGACAGCACAACTACGGCCCAGTATACTTGAATAACATTTCTTTATAGTGGAGGACAGCACCGGGGTATGGATTACAGAGAAGGAACGGTTCGGGGAGTACGTTTTGAACCTTCGTTCATCATTACACCTAATAAGCTTGCAGCTTTTACAGCATCAGAACGTTTTGGAGCTGCTGAAAAAGTACCAAACAAAAATGCAAATTGTTGCGATTTTGACGGGGAGGGTTTACGTTCCCCGTGTGAGGCCTTGCGCCGTTCGTTTTGGGGTCCCCGTTCCATGACTCTCACGTGCACGGGGACCTCGCCATAGCTCGAATAATGAGGAGAGGAAGAAGAAGTTATGAAGTTATAAGGGGAAATATAGAATAAAAAAGTGATGGATTAACGAGTCAGTTCATCAGAGGACCTCTTCCCAAGGAAGAGATCTAATGAGCCAACTCGCGGATGCTGATAGCCAACTCCAAGGGTTCTCCGACTGACTTTTATGACGGCCGTACACCGACAACTGTAACAAACGAGGCACCCTCCGCGCTGCACACGAACAAGTTTCGATATTCTCACTGTTCATCATGAAAACGGCATAGTGTCTCTGTATCCAAAGATCTCAGGGCAGTGGTAGTGGCCTCCTGGTAAGCCATCCCAATACGCAAATTCTTTGGGGTTACACGCTGACGGGTGCAACCGTCGCCACGGCAGGCAGCTTGCACTGCCTGCCGGTATTCCCTACCACCGGATCCTGTTTCCTTGCAACCTTGCGGCCAGCAAACCCTCTGACGCGGCAGCGGTAGGCATGCTTGTGACGCAGCCACTCTTGGCAGTGGCTATACTGCAAGAGGAAATCTAGGATGGATCGATGTAATCGCATGAAATCGCGATATCACTTAGGGCGCCAACCGGCATGCTCAAATGCTGAGCCGAGATTACTTATGGTTCCTATGTACCTAGAATTAGATGTCTCAGCTTTAAATTGGCATTTTTATTGAAGGCACTTCGCGCATCGCGCTTCGGCGCTTGTTTTTCGCCCAACCACCAACTGAGCTACCGGCCTGAACCCGGCTCCTTCAAACCGCTAACGGCATGCGATATGCGAAAGTCGAAACTGGCTGTTGTTGCTGGTGCTCGCTGTTATGAGCGGAGACATAGTATGTTGAAGGGGCAGCCAATACATCGTCATGCTGCAGAGGCATTCTCCACTGATTCTCGGAGTGCCGTGGCATAAAACCAATTATTAACAAGTTCTTGCACCGATTTCATGATTTAATTAACTGTTACTTTCACCTATGACATCTCAAGTTATGTGGAGGCCGTTAACCAGGAAAAATGTCCGCTGGGCAAGAGCGACAGGCATTTGGCATTCCCTTTATGATCCAAATTGTCAGCATCGATTATTACATGGCTCCTCCAATACCGCATATCGATTATTGCTTTTCGTCTCTGGAGGGGACAACAGTCGACCTTGTGCCGGTCATCCGCATCTTTGGGGCCACTCCAGCCGGACAGAAGGCCTGTATCCATGTTCACCGGGTACACAATCTCTTACGTTTGACTGAAAATAGCACAGATGTTTTCCCGCGTATGACGCGTGCGGCACCATGCTCCGGATGCTGTGCCACAAGCGGACATGGCTACGGCTTATCAAACAACCTCGCCAAGAGGATATGCTCCAGCATTTCGGTGTCTTTTGATTGCTGTTTCCTTGATTTTCAGACAGGAATCCCTACTAAACTCCCCGAAACCAAATGCACATCCCTTTTATGCAGGCCTTTCCCTACTTTTACGTTCCTTACGATGACAGCCTGCCCTCCACACCCCAAGAAGGTCAGTGAAGAAAGGAAAGGCAGAGTGATCTGGGCAATGGCCCGACCACCCTACGTCAAGCCATGCCATACCATGTCTCTTGCATCCCTGCTAAAGGTCTCCAACCCGTCCCAAAGCACGAGCTTCTGCCTGGGCGATATGTTGCAGGTCTGCCTGCAGGGTTATCGCCCCAAATCCTGTAAATACCCTCCCAGCAACCCCCATGCACCCTCCCCCCCCCACACACACACGCACGCGCGAACCTCAAATCGGCCGGCGGCATCAGGTCGCACCGCCCTTTTTTTTCTCTTCGAGTTATTAATCCCAGTTATTAGTAAGTTCCTCCTTATAAGAATACATCATCGTCATCCGTCCATCCTCCGCTAAGACACGGCACGCAGCAGTACTGACCCTGGCTGCCGGTGACCCCACCACCACTCTTTTCAAAACACAGTAACGGCCACAAACCGATTGCGCCGCCCCCGGTGCCCCCCGATGCCCCCCGATGTCAGCCAGCCAGCCCGTCGCTGTCTGGAACCCCCGGGCCAGCTGACCCTTCTGAGTTTTACTTTTTGCATCATCATCATCATCATCATCATTATCCCGTCATCATATGATTCGCTCTACTCATTCCCCGTTTTCCCGCTAACCCACCCACCCACTCGCTTTTACACAACGTGGCCGCCCCCACCACCCAGCCGCCATCTGCCTGCGCCGTATGGCTCTGGCCATCGAGGCGGCCGTCAAGGCGAGTGCGATGCCGGGCCTGTACCAGCAGCAGCAGCAGCAGCAGCAGCAGCAGCCCGGCGGTGGAGGCGGAGGTAATGGCGGCGGTAATGGCGGAGGTAACGGCGGAGGTAATGGTGGCAGCTCAGCCTCCAAGCAGCGGCAAGTGGTTCACGCATTGCAGCTGGTTCGCGGCAAGCCCTTCTATGGTTACCTCATGGACGAGCAGCTGTATATCAAGGTCGTACTGTGAGTGCCGTACATTGGTTGGCGCGGGGCGGGAGTTGGGACATGAGGAAAGGACCCGGAGGGGAGCTTTCTTGGTGGCGGTGGTGGCCGTGTATGTGTTTATATATGTGTATGCATGTGTACGTATGTGTACGTATGTGTATGTACGTGTATGTGTATGTATGTGTGTAAGAGAGAGAGAGAGAGAGAGAGAGGGGAGGGAAGGCACGGGTGCCTTGGTCCAGCGCCCAGTAGTACGGCAGGACAGATCAGACCCCGGTGTGTTCCCGACCTCCCCTAACACGCAACGGCGTGTAGCAGCTACTGCCGCTACTGCAAATACCACTGCCGCTATTTCCGCGCTATCGACAGCCCTCTCCACACCCCGCTGCTCGTTTCCCTAATCCCCTCCTGCTTCTAGACGTGACAACTTTGCTCCCCGCACACAACTCCCCCCTCTCTCCCTTCCCTCCCCCTGCTACTGCCACTGCTATTGCCACTGCTATTGCCACTGCTATTGCCACTGCTATTGCTGCTGCTATTGCTGCTGCTATTGCCACTCGCCACTGCTACTGCCAGCTACAACCCGCAGGACGTTTCCCGTGTTGCCCAGCTGCTGGCGGGGGGAGCCATATTGGGTCTGAGGCTACAGCCCCACGAGAGCCACCTGCCCTTCCTCCTGCAGTTCAAGGTTGGGAGCAGCGGCAGGGGGGCCAGGGGGGGTGGGGGGAGCCGGGGGGGTTGGGGGGTGGCTGATACAGGGCGCAAAACATCAGCCCCCGCGGGGGTTGTAGAGGTTTAGGTGACCGGGATACTTGTGCAACGGTATTAACGGTCGTCGGTGGGTCGATCGTTGGAGGATCGGGCATTGGAGGATTGGATGTGGGGATGCGTTTGCTCGGCCGGCCGGTGCCGGGCGGTGCAGCCGCCGACGGTGCTGCTGCCATAGTCGCTGGAGGTCCACCAGTTCCCACAGTGCACCGCCACTGCAACACCACCACATATGACCACTATCACCATTAAGGGAACCTCGACCTGTGTTGATGTAACAGCTAACACACGGCCCGCATGCTACTTGTCACTGGGCCCCGTGGGGGAACCCCTCCCCCCCTTTCAACACTTGCTTGCTTGCGCGTCAGATTGACTTCAACCTGCTCGGAATGGGCGTGATAAGGCTCGATCGGGTGATCTTCCGCGGGGATCTGCCCGCACGGGCGCGGCCGCCGGCGCCGGGCTGGGAGTTTCTGCACAGCACGTATGTACTGGGAGGGGGAGCAGAAGCGGAGGAGGGGGAGGAGGAGGAGGAGCCACAGCATGGGAAGCTAGGGGCTCGGGAGCGGGAGGGACATGCCGCCCGGGATACCCCCGGCGGCGCTAGCACCGGCAGGTGGTGGGGTACGGCACCGCGTGGCAGCAGCGACGGCGGCAGTGGAACGGAAGCGCTGGCGGCGGCGGCGGCGGTGGAGACGCCGCCGGACCGACGGGCGATGGCGGCGGCGGCTGCCGCCGCCGCCGCCGTCAATACCTTTGCGGCGGTCGCGGGTGGGTCTCAAGGCGGCGTTAGCGCAGCAGCCGCCGCCGCCGCCGCCAGTCAGGCAACCCCTGGTGAAGGCTGCGTTAGCGGCGGCGGTCAGGGTCCGGCGGGCAGTTTGGGTAGCTCTCTGCGCCAGGAGCTTCAGCGGCGGGTGGAGGGCATGTTGTGGACCCGTCACACCACCCCAAGTGACTGGACCTGGGCGGGGGTGGTGCTGCCCAGCCGCGTAAGGTGGGATGCGGGGAAGGCACGCGGAGAGGGCATTGCGTGGGGGCTAGGTGAAGATGGGGGTGGGGTATGTGAGGCTGATGTCGCACGTCTCTTTCTCTTCTATGACTTGGCGCTGTACTTTTGGCGCTGTTCTTTGCAATCATACCTACCGCGCTGCGCCATGCAAACATGCAAACATGCAAACATGCTGCCCTCCTAGAGCACTGGATGCTGCAGCCCCCGTCTATGCTGTATGACGTCTCGCTGCTTTACCACGTGCGTGGGGGCGTACCAGCTCCTTTCCAGGCCGTCCCAAAACTCGCACCTTTCTCACCCAGAATTTTGAAGCTATAATTAAATATTAAATTATAAATTCGTAAAAGGAGTTGTTCACACAGTTGTTAATTAGTGTATTTTATACGTTTCACATGAATAAATATTTATCCCTACCGTCTCCCAGGCCGCCCGACCGTCAGACTACGTGTCTACTGGAGGCTGATGCTGTGGTGCACGACATCGCCAACCGCCGTGAGGTACGGCATGTCGTACTAGTACGGAAGCGCCGTACATAGCGCGTGAGGCCGGTCCTGAGCTCCGAAGATATGGTCTACGGGGGCCGCTCCCTGTTCGTACATATTTTTTCATGTACATCATGCCCGCGTGGCGGCTGTGAGTGAAGTGTGAACAGGCAGGGCCACGCTCTTTGGAGACGTCCGTTTACGTTCGTCAGCGCCAACCCGTGGCCATGTATCTGAAGTCGTATGATTCCATTCCCCCAGCCCGACCCATCGCGCGATCGGCATACATTGGCAGTCGGCTCCTTCGCTTCTTGCGGATAACTCCTCTACGTCCCCCCCACCTTCATCGGCAGTTTGCAAATTTGGAAACGTCGTGTCGGCTGCTGTTTTCCCGTCTTAGGGTTTTGCAGGTGACTCCATTCCCCCTCTCTCCCTTCCCTCCACCCTCCCCTCTCTCCCCCCGTATCTGCTTCATTCCCCAGTGGTTCCTCTTAGTCCCCGCTGCCCTATTTTTCTCTTCCCCCCCTCCCCCCCTTACACTCTTGCCCTGGCAGCAGCTTCAGTCGTTCGTGGCCGTCTCCCCCCCCCCCTTTTCCCCCTGTGTCAGGCTGTCCGCACCACACTGGAGGCCGCCAGCCCCTCCCAGCAGCTGCTGGCCAGTCTGGTGCCCATGTGGGAGGAGGAGCGGGAGCGGGGCGGCGGGGTGCTGCCGGAGAAACCCGCCTCACCACCACGGAGTCCGAGACCGCTGTGTACGGCGGTGGAGGCAGTGAGGGCGGAATACCGGGTACGTGTATTGGTGGGGATGGTGGGGGTTGGGGGCCGGGGAGGGGAGGGGAGGGAAGGGGAGGAGGTGTGTGTGTGTATATACGTGTTGGTAAAACACAAGCCGGTTCCCCCGGGCATGCGTGCCTGTCCTCCTTAATTCCCCCGCCGTACCGTACAGGCTGTGGCCGAGCACCATGCACAGCTGCTGAACGAGCGACGGCGGCGCGAGGAGCAGGAAGCCGCGGCCGCCGCCGCTGCCGCCATTGTCCCCTCTTCCGCCGTGGGGGGCGACGGCGGCAGCGCCGTCGCGCGGTGTGCAGCGGCATCCGCGGAGGTGGAGGTGGCGGCAGTAGCAGCAGCAGAAACAGCCTTACCTTTGCTGAACGGGGCCATGGCCGCATCTGGCAGTCGCCCTGACTTGGCGGGGGTGGCCCCAGTGGGCGAGGCCGGGAAAGGCGGCGCCGCTGCCACCACCGCCGCCGCCGCCGCTGCCACCACCAGCCCGTCTCGTCTTCGGCACTTCCCTGGCCACCTGGCGGCCGGGGCAGCTCCAGGGGAAGGCGCAGGGACAGGGACAGGGACGGTGATGCTCAGCGGAGCGAATGGGGAGGTTTCTCCCGGCTTAGCGCATCAACGACAACAACAGCAGGAGCAACAGCAACAGCAGCAGCAGAAACAGCAGCAACAGCAGGAGCAGCAACAGCAGGAGCAGCAGCGGCCTCAGACGTTGCCAATCGGCAAACCCACGTCAGGTCCAGATGCTAGGGAGCGGCCGTCAGGTTCCCGAGGAGCTGAGGGAGGAGGACCGCTCCTGGGGGGCCCAGCGCCAGGGGGCAGTATCCTAGACACTGGCAGCGGCGGCGGCGGCGCCGTCGCCGTCGCCGTCACGCCGCGGGCGGCTCCCTTCAGGGGTCTCGGCGCCGCCGCCAGCCAAGGACAAGAAGCCGGCGGCGGTGGTGGTCCAGGGGCAGAGCGGGGCATGGAAGCCCTGACGCCAGTTCTGATGACGCCGTACAGCACACCCGTGGTGAACGACGACGGTGGCGGCGGCGGCGGCGGACCAACCCTGACACCAGTCCTTATGACGCCGTACGACACGCCTGTCATTGGCCGTGACGGCAGAGGCGACAGCGGTGGCGGCCGCGCTGCTGCCTCACGTGTTGCCCATGCCCACGCCACGCTGAACGCATCGCAGACCCCGCGTCCGTCGCAGCCGCCGACGACGACGCCGGCGGCGGTGCCGCCGCCGCCGTCAGGAGCTCCTGGCAGTAGCCTCCGCGTCCCGCGCGCGGAGCTGCTCCGGGCATCGCAAGCCGCCAACCTGACGGTGTTCACAGGCCCCGCCGGCAGCGGCAGCGCCGGCGGCACATCACAGGGCGACACCTGCGCCGCCGCACAGGCGGCTGGTATGACCCGTGGGTCCCAGCAGGTGTACGGCTCCAGCCAGGTGCTTCCTTTCAGCTCGCAGGGAGTGCCGCCAGGAAAACAGGACCCGATGGGTCAGCGGCTATATGGCCCGATCCTGAATAGGCAATCGTTGTACGGAACGCCGCCGCCGCCGCCGCCGCCACTGCCTTCGCGACCGCCTGGTCTGCCCCGACCATCGAAGCCAGCGGCGGCAACGGTGGTGACGGCGCTGGCTTATCCAACCGGTGATTTGTTGTTACCGCCTAGCTTGTCTCCTTCGGTGACGCCTCCGTTTCTGACGCCGCCGGCGCCGCAGTCGCAGTCGCAAGCAGCGGCGGCGGCGGCGACTGGAGAGACACGTGGGGGTGGGTGCGGAGGTTCTCGCGGCGACGCCAGGCTGTACGGCGATGGTACCGCGGCCGTGATGTCTGTGGACTTCGTGGCGTCGCAGCTACATCCGACGCCGGCGACGGGATTAGCGGCACGTCGTACAAGATCCCGGTCATTGAGTCAACAGGCAGTAGCACCGCTGCTCGGAGCGGGTCCTGCCGCCGCCGCCGCCGCCGCCCCGTCAGCTTGGAGAGGCTT